GGTTACGAGGACATGAAGGAGTTCGTGCAGTCCATCGCACGCCCGAGGAAGATCATCCTGCTGGTCAAGGCGGGAAAGCCCGTGGACGCCACGTTGGAGTTGCTGAAGGCGCTCTTGGATGAGGGCGATCTCGTCATTGATGGCGGGAATGAGTTTTATACCAATACGGAGAGAAGGGCCAAGGAGATGGAGGAGGTCGGCATTCTGTACATGGGCATGGGCGTGTCCGGAGGGGAGGACGGCGCCCGCTATGGGCCCAGCCTCATGCCGGGCGGCCCGAGGCCGGCCTGGGACATGGTCAAGCATATGATGACCGATATTAGCGCCCAGGTTGACGGCAACCCGTGCGTCACGTATATCGGTCCGGGCGGGTCGGGCAACTATGTCAAGATGGTCCACAACGGTATCGAGTATGGCGACATGCAGCTCATCGGCGAGGCGTACGACCTGTTGCGCAACGTCGCGGGCCTGTCCGTCTCGGAAATAGCTGATGTCTTTGACGAGTGGAACGCCGCCGAGCTGCAGAGCTTCCTGATCGAGATCACGGCCCAGATCCTGCGTCAGAAGGACACCCTCACCGGCGACGGCCAGTACTTGGTCGACCGCATCCTCGATCAGACGGGGTCCAAGGGGACCGGCATGTGGACGATCCAGGAGGCCGCCGCCAAGGCGGTGCCGGTCCCAACCATCGCCGCGGCCCTGGAGGCCCGCTACCTGTCTGCGCTCAAGGAGGATCGCCGCCTCGCCGCACCCGTGCTCTCGGGCCCGTCGCCGCGCACAGCCGCGGACAAGGCCACGCAGCTGGAGATTGTGGATGACATCCGCAAGGCGCTGTACGCGTCAAAAATCTGCTCGTACGCGCAGGGCATGAACCTCATCCGCGCCGCAGGGCAGGAGGGCGACTGGGGCCTAGACCTGGGCGCCATCTCGGCCATTTGGAAGGGCGGCTGCATCATCCGCGCAAAGTTCCTGGACCGCATTAAGGCCGCCTACGACCGCGAGGCGGACTTGCCCAACTTGTTGTTGGATAAGGAGTTTGCCGCGGAGGTCAACGCGGCGCAGGATAGCTGGCGAAGAGTGGCCACGCTGGCACTGCAGAATGGCATCGCCGTGCCGGCCCTAGGGGGGTCGCTCAGCTACTACGATAGCTTCCGGAGAGAGGTTTTGCCAAGCGCGCAGATGGTGCAGGCGCAGCGGGACTTCTTTGGCTCGCACTTGTATAAGCGCTTGGACCAACATGGTGTGTACCACACGCGGTGGAGCTCAGATGGCGTAACGGAGAAGCAGGATTGAGGATTGCGTAGTGAGGGGGCGGATTAGGTGGATCAACGATTTGTTGCGATTGATAAACGTGTATAACGCGATGCATACAGTAGATCCGATTTTGGTTTTTGAGCGCCCCCTCAAATATTGACAAAAAAAACATGAACAATCCCATGCTCTACACAAACACCCGCTACCGTATAGAATTAGTCGTCTTGGTAAAGACGTAAGCGTAATTGTAGACGTTTTAAGTCTTTGACATTGACGTGAAGCAAATATATCCAGAATGCACGCGTAGAAGTTCGTTCGTTTGTGCCACAGTTGTTACTCATACGAAAAAAGCCCGATCGGAGTGCTCAGCAAGGAACCTTATCCGCAGCGTCCAAAAACAGACCTCGTCAGTATCCGAATTCCGAGACGCGGCCAATGGCAAATGTTTCAGAGCCAACAAGTGAGAATTCACTGGGTCGAAACCTCTCCACCTTGCCGCGTCTGCCATCATTGCACTTTTTTCCGCAATCACATCAGCGGTCAAGGAGAGCAAGTCTCAGCGGCCGCAGCTGCGTTTCTCCCCTCCGAATCGGCTCGTCGCACAAAGTCCTCCACCGCTTCACGGTATTGACTGCCGCCGATCCACCATGTATCCTTTTCCATGCGAGAGAAACAGAGGTAGAGAGAGCATTCGTCGTTAGTTGGTTGTTGGAATTGCCCACACTGCCGACGCAAGCTGACGTTTGGATATGGCCGCGCTAGAGCCAAGGCTTGTAACTTACATTGTGAGTACCCTCCGCAATTGTGAGAAAGACTTTAAACTTGGCCATCTCCGCATTGCGATGCAGACTTCTCATGTGATCTGGCGGGCACAGCTCGTCCTTCAATCCACTGCACAGACAGGTAAAGCAACATCGCATATACGTGAACACGTCATCATTCTTGGTCAGTTATCCGCAGTTAAAGGCACGACGACGGGCGTAGTGCGTGCGAAATGGGCGGTAGCTTACCTTATAAAGAGTATGGGCAGGGCAATCTTGCCGACGGCGGCGAAAGAGTTCCACTTATTCCTGTTCAAAAACTTAGCAAAGCTGATGGCGGGCATGACCTGGTCGATCATATCGTCGATGGAGGTGAAAGTGTTCTCGACGACGATGCCCCTGAGGCTGTTCTGGGCGTCGGCGGACTCGGCCGCGGCAAGGGCGCAAGCGGCGCCGATGGAGCGGCCGAAGAGGTACAAGCGCGACACGTCGAGGACGTCGGAGCGGTCAAGCGCGTACGCCAGGGCGGCGGCGGCATCCAGCTTGATACCCGCCTCCGTCGGCGAGCCCTCGGACTCGCCGTAGCCGCGGTACGACACCATGAGGACGTTGAAGCCGCTCGCGAAGAAGGCGCGCACGTCGGGGAGCCTGCGGGTGGGAGGCAGGGGGCGTGAGTAATGGGGGCGCGAGAGGTGCGGCGGGGGCGCGAAGGAGGGCGTGAAGGAGGGCGTGAAGGAGGGCGTGAAGGAGGGCGGAAGGGTGAACGGCGTACCTGTGGGAGAGATTGCCGGCGTTGCCGTGGAAGTAGAGGAAGGTGGCGGCGGCCGTGGAGCGCGGCTGGGTGATGAGCCAGGCGTGGATGCGGACGCCGTCGGCGGCGACGATGTGGGCGTCCGTGTAGCGCATCGCGTAATCGTCTGGCTTCTTCTCGTAGCGGCGCGTGGGCAGGGTGGGGTGGTAGAGCAGCTTTTCTTGGAAGACGTACAGGGCAGCCAGGACGGAACCCACGACCGAGCCCGTCGCCAGGACGAGGGAGTGAAGGAGATTCATGGCGCAGGGGGGCCGCGAAGGTCGGATAGCAGACCAGGGGAGGATGAGAGGAGGTGCGTAGTCGGGACAGGAGGATATGAAAGGGGTTAGGCCAGACGGAATGTTCCCTAAACAGCGTCAGGAAACTACGTGCGGAAGCTGTATCCGGTACATCTAGATTCAAATGCCTTTTCTGAATCCGGATCACATCTGTTGTACACGTGTCGGATACAGGGGGGGTAGCTCTATATCGCACTTTTGAATAGCGCATTACCGGATATATCGCACTGTTTCGGGCTTGACACGAAATCAGCCACGTGTATGACATTTCACACGTGTCGCTCTACACCCAGTTATCGTATTTAGTGTCACCTATACTATTTCAGTGAGAGAATTTAAAACATGCTCACACAGTCAGTGATCTGGCAATTTCATTCCGCATTTTGAGAGTTATGATAAATTTTTGTGTCGATGAGCTTGACACAAGTCATCGAAAATCGACTCCGCCGACGCTATAAAGAAATATTTTCGCCACACTCGCGACGGCGACTCTTCAGATTGCTCTCCTCCTATGTTCCTGTTCACGACACACAAAGTCACCCCCTTCATTGAAATACATGCAGCTTTAGCTTCCCATCACCATTTTCAGTTCTTGAAAACACCAAGGTATGAACTATGAGGGTAGGGTTTCTCCCGATCCGTTCATGGGAGCAGAGGGTACGGAACGGTTCTGTTTCGCCTGTAATTGTGGTATAACTACCTTCGTCCCGACCACTCGGAACGAGGGGGGTTAGAGGTAAGGGAGCGCGCGACGCTGGGGAACCCACGCGAGCGCGAACCGTACGGAAGGACTCGAAAAGAGGGAAGGCTCACGTGGCCGGTGACGCGCAGCCGGTCGGTGGTGTCAGATCCGGACGGCCGGTCACGAGTTAGAAGCCTGAGCTAAAGGAAAACCGGAACGGTGTTAGCACTTAGCCGTAAAGGGAAGGGAGGCGAGTCTGCCCCCGTTTACTGGAACGGGGTAGGTGCCCCCGGTCTTAACCCCTAAGTGGGACGCCAGGACACCTGTCCCGCTACAGTAGCTGTTACATACTGTATACCAGCTAATGTACTAAATTGGCTAAATTGTGCCATTAACCACTAATTGCTAATTACTTACCGGATGGGTCGCACACGTGTGCCCGTGGCCACGACCGGCGCCAACGGTTGTGTCACGTGTACGCCGTGGAGGTACTACTGTGCTCGCAGAGGGCGCGTGCACGATTACTACAGTAGTAACCGCCCGTCTCGGCGGTTCTCATCTCCCACCGGGGGTCGCGGTGTGGAGTTGTACCACAGGAATGTGCGCAATGAGCGCACTCCTAGTCTCCCTGTGCATCTAACTGTCTCTCAAATCCCGAACAGGTCCAGTGTGGACACCGGGGTCATCCCAAACCCCTTTCTGACACTTCCACAGGACTCCAAGACCACTGTTTACCTTTGCAGCTATTGCCTAGATAAGAACTCAGGCTGGGATATGATATGTGCGTCTAGAAAATACCCCAGAATATCAAGAAAGCCTTTAGCTGCCTGGAAGACCCGTTATCTTCCGAAAATGGATAGGGCTGAACGCCACACGTGTGAGATATGTCGTAGAGCTGGAATAGAAGATGCAGAGAACGTGCGAAACCCTTGTCGGGACTGGAAACTATTCAACATTCAGCTGTGCAGTGTAGAAGTCCAGAAAGAATTCATAAATGAGCTCTGTCGATTATCGAAGTGTAGCAGAGAAACTGCTGAGGACATACTTCAACATCCAGGCAAATTTTATCACTGCTACAACCACATTAATTACATACGTCTTTCTAAGCTAAAGGCAAGGCGTTTCGAGCTCTCCCAGGCCGGAACATCAAAATGCATCTTTTACAGACGAGGATGTCCTATAGATGACCAGAAGGCTATAGGAAGACTTTGGGAGATATCTGAGATTGATTTAGACACCTCAAATAACGTCGAACTACTATCCCAACTAGATGAAAGCGTGTACAGCCATTCAGGGGGGTCGCTTGGTGCAAGACAGGTAATGGGAAGCCGATGTTGTCGCTCATGTCTGTATGTCGTCACGCAAGGGAAGAGAGGAGGCAGACCAATATTTTCTACACACAGTCTAAAGAGCATTATCGAAAGCTGGCTTGTGAAATGCGTTCTGTTCTCCGTTGAACTAGAGACCTCACCCCACTACCTGCGGTTGCAAGAGTCATCTATAGCAGAGGAGATTAGAACGGTCGCCAAAACTCTGCGGCTCTCCTGTGTGAACATTGAAAATGACTGTGGTACAGTCAGATTGCTGCCGTTCTCTGATGTTTGCCATGCCCGAAAAGCTCTTTGTGGCTTTCGCAAGAGTGATACACACTCTAAGCTAGCAAGTGTTGATGATCGCACATTACAGAAGCGTATAGAACCTTCTCTTGCTGGTATGGGGGTAATTTTGAAGAAGCTAGGGTATCGTTCAAGGTTTTATGTAGTTGCTTCGCAAATTGAGCAAATGCTATCTGCCAGTGTGAAGACAACTTCAAAGGGTCTTACATGGACTAGACCTACCCCTTCCAACATTAGATCATATCTTGATACTGTTGCCAAACACTTTCGAGACAGCAAGCAAAAGTACTGGGGGGGTAACTGGTCGTTGACAGATGAGATATCAGTTTTGCCTAAGGAGCTGTGGACAGACTTTGTGTACACCATGGCTTCTGGCCGCCGTATTGTATCGTGGTCAGTATCTGCAAGAGCTAGTCGCCAAAGTGTGAGGGATGTGTTTCCTCTATCTAATAACCCTGCGTTCATGCCACAGCCATCTATAGAGGAAGCTCTAAGCCATGGTTCTGAGTATCCACGTGCAGATCTTGTCCTATGTGTTCGTGCACTGAAGTCAATAGAGCACACAGTTTTAAGTCGCACAAACGGAGTGTCAGGACCCCTGACGACGTGCATTTCAATTGCAGGTATTTGTGAGGTTAGCCCCTCATTCGTGAGCGTCTTGAATTCTCTGGGCCTTTTTCTCTCTTATACTACAACAGAAAGATATAGGCAGAATCTTATTGCCGAGAGGGAGAGGAATGGTCCCTGGGACAGTACTGTTGTGGACACAAAAGCACTGCCCCTTCTCCAGTTCGATAACTGGGACACTACACCACTGCATGCTGTCAAGGTTGATGGAAAGCCAATGCCGAAGGTAAATGGCTCTCTACTGCAAGGAATCACAAAAAAGTGGAAGCCTTTGGAGAATATAGAACCCCATAGGAAAAGGTTTAAAGCTGAACCTGGTGACTGGAAAACTTCGAGCCTCCTTGGCGATAGGGGCTCTTTCGTAGACAAGCTATTGCCACCCGAAAGCCATGTAATTATTTCAGAGTTTAGTGCAATTGTCTTCGGGCTGTGCTCAGGTTACCGAAACCGTCTTGTCGGTGGAAAAGAGGGTCTTGGTAGTGAGTACAACACTTCTGTTCGGACTGAGTTTCAGCATGGCTGCACTGAAGCACCGCTGAACTTCAGGACTGTACTTCTTTCAGCTTTTAAGCAGCACGGCGGCAAGGCTGCTACAGATGAGTCTTTATACGACCAGCAAGTTGTTTACGTCGAGATAAGTCGAGACAGTGCTGCAGACAAGCTCACAGTTCGAAGGTTTTTAAAGATAACTGAGAAACAAATAAGGCCTGGCCATCCAGGGTGCCCTAGAAATGTGGTTGTGGGAGGGGACCAGCCATCGTACAAGATGTTTGTAGAGATTTAGATGGAATCTTACAGAAAACGGCATGGCAATACGACATCCAACAGGAGTCCTGGAATAATAGATGATGTTTATAGAGTACATGAGTGGCTAGTTCCTTTCCCAGGACTCTTCCATACGGAAAAGCAAGCCATGTACTCTATATGCAAGGAAATGCTTGACGGTCTTGGGTTAGATGAGATTGCTGCATGTGCTGGCCTCTCTAAAGGCCAGGTCTCAAATATGCTTACTCACTCCCATGCACGTAACAACCGTGCTGTATTGTTCAACTTTGCATGTGCCATGATTATTCACATCACTGATATGCTTCTATTGGAAAATTATGAGCTTGCCAGACAAGTGGCAAGCATGCATAAGAACGCTTCTGAGAAAAAACTCTCCGCCGACGGGGTATTTAAAGAACCTCTGGGGGCACGTGTAAGTACTGCAACATCGCAGCACACAAACGAAAAGCCGTTCGGTCAATTGTACAAAGAAACAACTGAGGTTGTTACTGCGGATACGATAAACTGTGGGAGAAGGATCAAGGATTTGGCAGTGAAAGCATTTGGCCGTGGATGCAATGGGCAGCACTTTGTGAACACTGTTCTATTTTCATGCTTACTACCCACCATTGGATTCCATGTGCTGTCTAGAACTGGTCATAGTAACGTCACAACTATTTTTTGGTTCAAGCGTATGCCCATCCTGCACTCAACGACCCATTTAAAATATCAGGAGTTGAGTCTATACTATGCCTTTTTCCGAGGTATTTTACCAACATACGTGGTGGATGAACTGTATGACAAGAAGCCAGGCCGTTCTCTTGTCAAGCTTTTAAGTTTTACAGGAAGAGGAAAAGATGCCATAGACAGAAGGGGATGGACTTATGTGCACATGTATGAGTCTCTTGAAATGCTGGCGGTTCGACATTTGAAAAGCCTGAGCGTCAACTTTCTAGGTCATCTGCAGAATGCATCGGCATGGCTGCAGCAGGTATCTATGTTTAGAGCATTGTCTAGATATTGCACTGGTGCGTCAAGGGCTTTCGGTCGTAAGAGGATACTGGACGGTGGAGGGGAGCAGGGAGGGCCCCTGTCACATTTTGACCGAAACGCTGTTCAGTGGAGAACTGTGTCCAGAATGTTGCTCGTAATGAGAGAGAAAGGCTTTCTCAACATTGCACATCGCGGTTCTGAGTGGCTCACCAACGTTTTTTCCAGCCCTCCCCAACGAATGAATATAGTTGAGGACCAAAACAGGTTGCTGCAGGTTGCAGAGCTGGGAAGGATGACTACCAAGCTGCACTCTTCTGTAATATTTCCTGATGTGTTCGGTGGACTGTCTGAAGAGGATGTGGTCATCCACTTTTCAGGGAAGCGTTTCAAAAAGTGGACTAGATCACGTGCAGTTACGAGACCATCTAAGTCTATGTCAAAGAACGGTGGTGTGGTCACAATTACTGGCTCAGGAGGTGACGTCACTCTGACTGCCAGCGTCACAGATGGACCGAGTCGCATAAAAAGACTTAAGGGCAAACATTCGTTCATTGCTGTTATGGTTGAAAGAAGGAGAAAGATGGC